TGGTACTGATAACAGATCCAGTATAATCATCACTGATACGTAATAATGGAAACTCTTTATGATTCAAATGATTAAAAACAATACTAAGTCGCCACAACCAATACCAAATACAAATATACGAAGGCCTTGTACAGAGCGTTGGAACAAACACATTCGCATTGTAAACAGGGATAAGCAGCGCCCATTCGCGAACAGCGTGTGGGAGAAGTCGGAGAGGAACTCAAGGTCGCCAAAGGGACATGTTTACGGATTTCTTTCTATCTGTTGATTCTGTGAGTTATTCAGCTGAAAGATTCGAATAATGATAAAAAAATGTTTTAGTTAACCGTGATATGTATGTGGATTAAAAGACTTTTAATCTTACTTTGATGACGGAAAAAACGAGATGAAGTTTCTTTTTTTAAATCATTTTCACAAGCGTACAAAAACACTCTTTTCCTAGTGTCCCGTTTCCTCTCCAGAGTGTTTAAAGCAAAAAAAATAAAAATCATGATCTCTGCCAAAGGGTCTCCACTGGTCTAAAGAAAAACATCGATCCTACAGATTCCATCAAACACTGTCATTATCGCCGGTATTTTCACAAACGCGAATATGCAGCTTTCCTTTTTCTAGAAAATTCCCTCTGAAGACTTTCCCCTTTTCACATGCCCTCCTTTGCTTATTATTATTAGCTTTTAAACAGTGTTCAAAGACCACTGTGAATCAATACCTGCATGTCGTCAATGTCTAGGTGTCAGTATCTCAAAAAATGCCAAATTTGCACATTCGCCGGTTTGTGAAAATGCACCATATGACACCGTGCACTGACTTTCATCAAAAGTATGAAATCAATTCTAAAATATATGATCAAGTGCATCGGAATTAAAATAAATCTCATCTGCTGCACATCTCCAAGTCTTGATTTCGATAAGCGTACGCCAGAGCTTAACCTCCTCCTCCCCAGCCAACGGTTTGTACGCTCATGGAAATGATGGAATTAAGGATAACCCCTTAATTAGAGAGTGTATACTCGCATTACACTTTGATGGAGTTGATAAATGATACGGTTATATTCATGTTCATTTCAACTTCCTTATCTGCACTTCTGATTTATCGTAATATACTCACATATTATCTTTAAGTCTGCTCTCTATAAATTCGTAGTTAGCAGATAAATATGAACCGAGTAATTCTACGGGACTGTTGCGCCGTTTTTCATATATGTCTTATGATTGTTAATGTGTATAGATGTATGAGAAAATTAACAGATAAAGATGGAGAGAGAGAGAGAGAGAGAGAGAGAGAGAGAGAGAGAGAGAGAGAGAGAGAGAGAGAGAGAGAGAGAGAGAGAGAGAGAGAGAGAGAGAGAGAGAGAGAGAGAGAGAGAGAGAGAGAGAGAGAGAAAGTGTGTGTGTGTGTGCGTGTTAGTTACGAAAAGGGCTGAAAGAGATGGACACTAGATAGTGAGAGAAAACGAGACAAAACTTCTGCAGGAGAAAAAAGTGATTTTCCATTACTGAAGTTAAATACTTAAAGTGACCTGAGCCAAGAAGGTGAGTCAACAAAAGATGGTGAGAACACGGAAATTTGGTGATGGTGACTGACAGTGATACTTCTTATGGCAATTATAGTGATAAGGGTGGTAATGATAATGATGATGATGAGAGAGCCGATGGTACTAATAACAGTTCCAGTATAACATTATTGATACGTGATAATGAAAACTTTTGATGAGGCAAATTATTCAAAACAATAGTAAGTTACCAATACCAATCACGAATAACCGAACGCCTTAATTCCCCGCTCCCTCTGGTCGTCCGCCCCAAAACAAACGAGGATCGTGATGCGCACAATGCAGCGTGAAAAGCGCCCCCGCAGCATGCCAGCCAGCGGTTTATTTCCCAATTCCAATCCATCCCAATTTATCTCCAAGGACGCTAACGCCTTTACTCCCTCCCGAGCGTATTTGTTTTCCCAAATGGAATTCCGAGGTGGGCGACACTCCGCCTCTGTTTACCTATTCATATGCGCTATTGTGATGGGACGACGATGTCTTTTGTCAATTTAAGCGATGAATAATGGCGGGAATCTATCAAGGCCGACCCGACAAAGGGGCGGGGCCAAGGAGACCGCTCGCGCGTTCTGATTGGTTGAGCGAATCTCCTGCGGCTTGTCCTGATTGGCCGGGTGAATTCTCTACGATTCATTCTAATTGGCTGGCTGAAATCTCCATGATTCACCCCGATTGGTTATCTGGGGAATTGGATCCATCGGTGATTGGCTGATCATACGTGGAGCGTTAGATATCAGAAATACAAAAGGATATAGATCATTTCCATATGAAGACTATTGAGGTTAACTCTAACCACTTTGCTGACATAATATGAATCTATAATGAAAGTACTCTCCTTTAAGAACGAAAATCATCCCTTTCTTAAAAGATGAGACTTTCCTTGACAAGCAATATTTCTACATACCCTTTTCCTTTGGCTTGGCTTAAAGACATCATTCAATCATGAGAAAACCACAAGCTGTAAAATAATGAACAAAAAACTTCATATATTCACTCCGTTCATGCTAGGGTAGGACGCGGGGGGGAGGGGGAGAAGGGGGGAGAGGAAGGGGCACAGGGGAGGGCATGGCAGGGTTACGTCAGGGTAGGAGCAGTTGCACAGACAACAAGGAATCAAGGAAGAGGGGAGAGGGATGCTGCAAAAGGTCTTTCGAAAAGGGGTCACAGCATGCAAGGAAAAGGTCACACCACGTCATGCAGTCAAGCGTTGTATTTTGCGGTTCGTCGCGACTCCAGCCTCGACCGGTCTCTACTGCGCCCTTCACCTAAACACGCCACTTCCAGAAGCCACGCCCTTCTTCTTTCTTTCTCTCTTTTATATTCCTCTTATTCCTCAGTTTTTTTCACTTCTTGTTTCAGACTTTTACTTTCTTTATTTTTTCCTTTGCTTTTTTATCTATTTCTTATCCGAGATTAAATTAAATGTTAGGGGATAAAAAGGGAATGTAGAATTTTGACATGGGAAATTTGAGATTTGAAAATAGGGGGGGGGGAATTTATTCCTTTTTGGGGGAGGGGGTATTCACTATACTTTCTCATTGTAAAAAAAAATCTACAACTGCTTCACTTTAAACAAGAATGAATCTCTGGAATTTATTAGAGACATTTCAGAGATATATTTCAATTATTTCAGAATTATTTCATATGATAACATATGGAAATAAAATTATAGAAGATTTATCTCTTATTCACAAATGAGGCTTTAAGAACTACATACTGAATAGTGGTAATTTAGACATTTGGGAGGAATCAGAATAATTTAGATAGCTAAATATTAAACCCACCCATTCCCTCTCTTCTATAACTAGCTATCAAATAATTCCCTTTTATGATCAATTCTATAAAAAGTAGCCCGGTTACCAATAACTAGTCTAACTTTCATTCTTACAATTTAAATGCTACTTAAAAAAAACAATTTTAATAATATTGGTGACACTAATAATGGTGAAAATAATAGCAATAACATTAATATTAACAATAATAATAATAATAATAATAATAATAATAATAATAATAATAATAATAATAACAATGATAGTAATAAAGCAATAATAATAATTTTAATAATGCTAATAATAATGATAATAATAACAAAAAGAACATTACCAATAATAACAATAATGATAACAGCAATTAAAAAAACTATAAAAATAATTACATTTATAATAATGATAAGAATTACAATTATAAAATTAATATTTATGATAATAGAAATAATAACAAAAATAACAATAACAACAATTAAACAACAGCAACAACAATAATAATAATGATTATAGTAATAATAACAATTGATAATAGAAAATAAAACTAATAATAATGATAATAACTGTAATAACAATAATGGTAATAATATTGATAATAATAATGATAATGATGATAATACTACTACTAATAATAACAATAATAATAATAATAATAACAAAAATAGTAATAACAGTAAAATTGATAATAACACTAATAACAACAACGACAAAATAACACAATAATTGTAAGAACAACACTAAAAATAACAATAATAGAATTAATAATAAAAATAA